AATACTATGTATCTCCCTTAAAAGCATGTCCTAATTTTGACTCGAGACATGTAGTTTCGAGTGTTTTAGGTAAGATCATTTTATTTTATTTAGAATCATAATTTCAAGTGACTTTGTTATATTAATAAATATTTAACAAATTTTAACTTGTATAGATCCTTATATTGTTTGCTAGAGTATCACCAACATATTCATCATATGTTTTAGATTCAGGGTGTGCATTGGCTTGGAGAAGGTCTATAGGCTCAATTAAGTAGAGCCTGTGCCTCCCTTGATTAGTAGATAATGTGGAAAACAACCAAGTAAAAGAGGAGCACCAAGGGCACAAGGGGGTCCACACTCCACATTAGAGGCCCAGTCTCCCACACAGAACACTTCTGAAGTTTGGTAAGATTCTCTAAATACTCAATCATTCAATGGTCGATGCAATTTTGCTGTACTTATGACCATTTTGTCATGAACAAGGGCTTAGAAACTTGTCCACCTCCCACCACTGTATAATTGCATGTCTGTAAGAATCGGTGCCTAGGGACGCAATAGTGGGTCTCTGACCTCTCTCGATGTGTCAATGTAAGTACAGAATGTGATTTTTTACATTCTATAGACCATAAATGTTAAAAATGACTATTAATTCATTGTTTTAATTATGTAGGTGGAGTGCAAGTAGATTTGAGAGAGGGAGCGGGAGTTGGAGAGCTAGACCTTAACACTTATAAGTAGCAATGGTAACCAATCTATCATTTCGCGGTCTAATTTTGAGATATGGAGGCAAGAAGCAGAGCAGAAGAAAGCGAGAGTCTACGGCTTGGACGTGAAAGGAATATCATTTGAGGCCAAGCACTCCCTGCACTTGTGGGTGACTCGAGGTTATTGTTATTTGAGTGTTAGAAATTTGTCAGGGGTTACTGCTTTGAATAAAGAGATTCATCAGAAGTGTGGTTGTATCCGTGAAAAACAGTATAGATTGATGAAACTTTAGCATGATTGACAGAGAGTAAAGCATATTATCATGGCAAGTGATCTATGACTTCTGTGGATGAGGAGGAAGATGAACAAGAGGGTGACAATGATTGTGAGCTCGATGATGTTCTCTTATCGCAGAGGTTTCTCTATTTTTTTTCTTTTTATGTATACGAACATTTAATTTGTGTGTAAACTTTCACAAATTTAGATTTATATTTGTTAAATTAAGTTTGTTTTCTTTGTTGGTATTTGTTAGTGATATAGATTCTAAGTTGTCATGGCACTTGTTTGTGATATAAATTCAATATGTGCATGTTGTGAAAATCTTATCATTCTTTTATATTTTTTTCTAATTTGTTACAGGTTCGCATCGGACTTCCGTCGGAAATTTTGATGCTAATAACAATGTTTTTTTTTCAATGTTGTTCGATATAGTTCGATGGTAAATAACCTCTCTGCATACCAAGTAGACACAAAAAACGATGCTTGTTTGTGTCATCCACCTATCGACACAACTTATGTTGTTAAATGTTATGTCAGGGAAGACCCCGTCGAAGCTAATTAATGATGATGCTGAGGAAAACTAAGGTCAACTTAAACTTGTTTGCATCATGTGTGATACTAATTGAATTACCCACTTTAATTTTTGTGTTGTCCTTAAATTCCGAAGCAAAGCCAAATCAAAAATAAAAAATAAAAAAAAATAATTGCGGATTATTCATAGTTAGCTTTGGATTCGTCTGATGCTAATTTGCATAAATACTGTAGTGGATTGAATCATAATGGAGACTTGGTGATAAATAACCCAGTTGAGGAGAAAGATTTTGTAAAAAAGGCAAGAAAAATAATTGATGTCATAGTATTTAATGGAAACATTTGAGACGGGGATTAGGTAGTGTTGGAGATGGGATATTAGTAACAAAGGTGATCCCATCACTTCGATTTTTTTAATACTTTAATACAAGGAATATCACGTTTAAAGAGCTAGAAGTTTTTATAAGACTTGAGGCTCCTTTCCATCACATTTGCTTTCATGCATTAATTCAAATTTAGACCAATCACTATAGCTTTGAAAAAATAACTAGGCAGCATCAAATTCAACTGGGTAATATATAGCTTAGCAAGTGAAAGATACAGACATTAATGCACAGATATTTTGGAAACAGAGAAACTATATTAAAAAAAAAAATTTCATCAAAAGATTAATCTTGACGTTTAAAACTAAAATTCAAATAGTTGTAATAATCCATTCACTAATCAAGTAAAAATACAGAATATGCATGGAAAATCCCTTGATTTTAAAACATCAATGCAAAAATAGTCTTCGACTTTATCAAACTTCAACCAAACAATATTTTGTAATGATTACTTAATATAAATATATACATACATAAGCCTAACGGGTCTTAAACAATTTTCTAATTGAGTGTAATATAGGTCTTTTTTCTAGAAAATTTATAATCCATAAGGGCAATTAAAATGTTTAGTTCAGTATAAAAAAATATTGTAGCATGTCGACCTTTTTTATGAAGATAATGGAAATGCTTGAATATCATTTTTGAAGAAGGCTCAAAATTGATGTTGAAAGAGAAAGTTATACAAATAAAAAACCTACACCCATGACAATAATATACAAATTTATTGATAGGAATGATTTTAAACATGAGGACCCATGAGTTACCTTGAAATAGGAAGCTTATGAAGTAATCAAAAGGTAAGAGAATGTGACACAAGATCATCAAGCCTAATGAAAGTTGGTTGACGAGAGAAGCAAATAGTGCCGAGAGCATCAAAGTAGATATGTAAACCGCGATAAGAACAAGGAGAAGGCCCTCGACGAGATCAAAAAAACCCCTTCCTAGAAGGCATCACATGTTGTATGAAGAGTAGTTTTGGCAATGAGAGGTGTTGGAGTATGGAGGCTCCTTTGACAGTGAACACAACATATTTGAAAGTCATCGTGTTAAAATTTTACATGAAATGGTAGAAATATGAAAAAAACTAAAGTTGAATAGGTTGAGAGGGAATGAAAACCTTGCATGTCTAGGAGACATGATTCTAAATCATATTAGATCATTTGATAGAGTTAAGTGTTGTCCTGGTGATCATGTCCTGGTTCTAATTATAAGATGGTGAATTTAATTCTTATGTCAAACACAATTACTTTTAAAAAATATGTCAAAAAATATATTCTGACATCTCTAGTATTAAGAATTTATCACTCCATTTACACATATTAAATCATGTAATATTAAATATATGACATAAAATTTTCTTTTTAAAATAAATACTCAATCAATCAATCACAAATAAATTGTAATTTAAATAATAATTTGAAGTTTAATGAATGAATGAATAAGGCAATATATGCTTTAAATTTAAACTACACTCTTTTTATTATAGATAAAATATTATAAGGTTATATTAGGAAAACCTAAATCTAAACAAGTAATGATAATTTTTTCATTATTCATTTGATCGTCCAAAAATTTCTTGTCATGAAAAAATTAAAAATAAATTTAAAAAGCGAATCTAACATTTTGTGTAAACCAATAATCCATTTTTGAACACACTTGGGCTTTATTTATCAATTTCGTTAAGCTTATGAGCTTCCAAATATAATTAATATGTTAATTAGCTCGAACGTAAATATTGGATAAAACTGAAAATTTACGATATACCAAAATCACCTAATCACATCAATATTCACTAATCTGAGGTATGTTTTTTTAAATAGCTTTAAAATATATTTTTATTAAAAAAAATAAATGAATTATCTATTTTTTAACATAACCACTTTAAAAATTTTTTAAATATACTAATTAACTCAAATTTTAATAAAGTGATAACTGCATGCACCACCATGAAAAAAAAATATATTTATTCACGTATGTTGTTATTTCATAGATTTTAATATTTGAGTGGAAATTTTAAAAATCGAAGAAAAACGACAATAAATTTATTTAAAAAATAAATTTTCGCCAGCTACGTATTAAATTAAGAATAATTAAAATTAATTAAAATAAAAGGCATAATAAAGACAATTTTAATCCTATTTTATTTCTCACAAAAATATAATCTACTTCTTCCCTGTGTTTGGAACATAGAACCTTTCAGATCAGCGTCTCATCCGCTGTTTACCTGTTAATTACTTTTTGTGCAGTGGCAGTTCAGTAAACGAGGAGGCTGGATATGGTGCATTAATTATTCAAATCCATTACTTCCCTTTGGTTGTGGTTACATCGGGAAGGAAAGATTTCCCCTGCTCCAGTCAGTTCCCCTTCTCCCCGCCTCCTATTCTCTCTCCTCCCCCGACTTCTCTTTCTAACCCCTATATTATTAATACAAACACGCCTTTTAACTCCCGGGGAAAAGCGAGGAGAGAGATGTACAGCTCTCGAGAGAGTAACAGCATGGATTAATGATATCAACAGAGGGGGAATGGAATGCAACTCGGGATTTCCTGTGAACAGCTGAAACAGTGGCCCCCTTTTCAGCCGCTTCAGCCAGCTTAAAACCCGGGAGAGAGCCAAAAAGGAGTAGCTATTTCTCTCTTTTTATTCCACCATTAAAAATCACCATATATAATTCTAAAAATTTTCTGGTTATTTAATCACCAATCAAGGTGTCACATGCATGCTAAATTCAGGTTTTTTGTACATATTTTTCATCGTGGAAGAGCTTTGCTTCAATTATACCAAAAAAAGTATTACACAAATAATTAGATAGAATAAATTGTAAAATATTTGGATTGTAAATAAATTATAATTACGGGAATTCTTATTTGAATTAAATGTCCCATCACAAGAATTTTAATCTGAAAAACTCCAAACTGGGCAAGGGTACGTGGGCTTTATAATAAAAGCCTTGGCTCGTAGCGAAAATATGGGTTCCAATAAATTAATTACTAATTTTAAATAACTATATTAAGTTCCCTCTAAATTTTTAAAATGTATAACAAATTTTAAAAAAATACATGAAACTGCAGATTTCTGTAGTCTGTTCTCATACTAGACTACATACCATATGTGAAAAACATCTAGTAGACCGACAGAAATCACAGGGATGGATTATACAAAGCTACTAAAACCTAAAAAGCAATCGCTCTCCTCTCAGGCTCTCCTACTCCTCTCTCTCTCTCTCTCCTTCCTATTCCTCTTCCTCTTCCTCTCCGCTTTCACCCCAGAAGCAAAATGGAAAACTGGAGCGGAGGAAATAACCCTCTTATGATCATGCCTCTCCTCTCTTCCACAGCCGCCGGCTCCACCAACCCCCTCATCCTTCACCATCAGCCACCACCTCCGCCGCCATCCGACGGCTACGACTCCACTCTCATCAAAGCCAAAATCATCTCTCACCCTCAATACCCCCGCCTCCTCTCCGCATACGTTAACTTACACAAAGTAAAACAAACTCTTCAATTCTCAATTCTTCTTCAATCAAAACCTTAATAAAAGAAAAAATATATATATATATATATATCTTTTGTAGGTTGGCGCTCCGCCGGAGGTTGTTGCCAGGCTAGAAGAAGCCTGCGCTTCTTCCTATATATCTAGCAGTGGTGGCGGCGGAGGAGAAGATCCAGCTTTAGATCAGTTTATGGAAGCTTATTGTGAAATGTTAACCAAGTATGAGCAGGAGCTTTCAAAACCTTTCAAAGAAGCTCTGCTGTTTTTATCTCGCATCGATTCGCAGTTTAAGTCGCTCTCGCTTTCTTTGCCACCTGCGCCTTCCCAAGGTCTTTTTCTCTCTCTCTATTCTTTCTCTTTCCATGCTTTTTATTTTGTCAAATAATTAGTCCAAGTACATGTGCATGCAGCAGGTTCGTGTTTCTGGATTTTGTTGTATTGTTTATTAAGGGGAGGCTAAAAAGGTTTGTTTAGTGATTATTATATAATTAAGAGGGTTTGAATGATGGATCTATGCGATTTATGGTTTTGTTTGGTTTTGGTAAGACGTGGGATTTGGCGAGTTTTTTTTTTATTTTTATTATTATTATTCTTTATTATTTCTGGTTATGGAAACGTTGCTCTTGTTTATATTTGATGTGGTTCAGGTATGGATATTTAGTATGTGGTCTTTTTGAACCTTTGATGGCTTTATTTCGTTGTGATAAATGAGAAGGAAGTGGTCTAAGGATGAGAGTCTTTTTGAGTTTTGAAGAAGCTTGTTTTATTTTTTGGTTTTTCATTTATTTACGTGTTGCTAACGAAAGTTGAGATTGAGAGTCTTTTTGAATTTTTGCTAATTTTTAAGGCTTCTATATCATTATTTAGTTAATATGTTTATTGGCCAATTTTTGGTTTATTTTATTTCGTGTTGTTCTTATAGCGCTTAAGTTTTAGTTTGCTTCTTTTTTATGTGCTTAAGGTTAGTGTTCTCTTCATTAATTTGACTTTTGAAGAATGATTAACTCTTTCTTTTTAGTTTGTTGAGTATCACAATGAATATATTTTTTTTGAAAAGTGATGGGAATTATTTTTGTTGGTAGTTTTTGAGTTACATTCTTTTCCACCTTTTGTTTTGAAGTATTGGCTTCATCCATTGATGCGCTTTTGCTTCATAGCCTCCAAATATAACATTACCAAAGCTGCAATTGATTTGTAGATGCCCGGAGCAATTATTGTATAGGCCGCTAACTCTGTTACTGTTGATATGTATTTCTATTTCTATTTTTTTTTTTTTAGCTTTTTATGCAATCTTACAATTTCTTTTTATTATAATGTATTATAGGAAATTTCCTTTTTTCTGTAATATCCTGTCAACTGTATGATTGACATATTTTTGTTGGCATTACTAAATCTATTTACAAATTTACCGAGCATGCTTGTTTGAGTAGCGTAGTTTTTTGTAATTGAGTTGATGTTATTCACTGCTTCTCATCTTGTCACGCTGAAAGGGTTCAACTTTTGATAGCTGATAGGAAATGTCTGAAACTATAAATAGTTTTTATGGTTTTAAGCATTTCACTAATTCAAAACATTTATCTTTCAGTTTTCTTTTTGTTTTTTTTTAACTTGCGTAACTAATTCAAAATAGTAAATCTACACGGGGAAATTTTTTTTTATTTTTAATATAGTTTGAGACTTGTATAACAAAGCCAAAAAAAATAAAATCAATTTCCAGCACATCATATTTTCTTTCTTTATCATGCTTTTTTTTTTAATATGGTTGATTATCATTAAAAAAAAAGGCAAAAGGAAAAGCAGCCCGGAAAGCCAACATAGAAGGGACAAAAGTGAAATGAGAAAGAAGCTAAAGAAAGCCATTAAATAAAACTACATTTATGCAATCTTCCAGCTAGAAGCATCATATATATCATTGATCATTGAATTTAGTTGGCTATCATGTAATGTAAGAAGTACATATTTCCATTTTCTTTTGTTACAACATTTATGGGGTAATTGAAACTTATGTTTTAATAGGAGTGTCATCCTCAGATTTGATTAATGTACATTTATAATTTATCAGTTTTTTACTATAAATTGATAAAACAATATGAAGTAATGTGACGAGGGTCAAAGGTGACCTACAATGCATCAATAGGCCTTGGAGTCATGTACACTTCGCATATGTTGTGTATTGAAGGTGTATGGGATAAAAGATTCTCTTATATTTAATCAGCATTATTAATAATAGAAGAGAAATGACTATTAACAAAGAAAATCAGAGAAGGTGACGTTGAGTGAAGGTTATGGTTGTCTTAAGTGGGTTTGTAAGCCCAATGTGTGCAAAGATGTATGCCGAGCAAGTGAAGCTTGGCTTTGAATAAGTATATAATTTTAGTTATTTGCAAACATGTGGAACTCATTCTGAAATGTGTCTGTGCATTTTTTGTTTCCCTTTTTTTAGCTGGACGTGTGGATGACAATTTGATACTAGTTGCTGTCATGTAACATGCATATCATGCATTCAATGTGTGATTTTATAACGAAAAGTCATTACATCATAAGAGATTACTAGTGAGCTTTTGCAACAAAATTGCATTAGAATTTGAAGACTTCTCCTGGACGTTTTGAATCGCTGACTTAATGTTTGAGGGTGGTTTTATATGACAGTTTATGATTGATTCAATAGATAATTAGGCTTCATGTCTTTTATTTGCATCATTGCACTTATTGGTATCTATAATTATGAGTTTCAAATGTTTAGTTTATTTTATTAACAATATTTCACCACCTAGTATCTCCTTTTTTTAATTCTCCATTTTCATATTTTATGAGATGTAGCTATCTGACAAGTTCATGAAATTTTTCCAGCATATTTAATACTAATTTTTAGTATTTTTTAATATTATATTATACAGATAATAGATAGATTGATAATTTTTTTAAAGGTGTTTTTTTTTATCTTAACAATAGTTCATCTTCAATTACCATGGCTCGTTTAAATGATGAATACATAACAATCAATTATATATTGCATCAAATCTTTGTTTTATTATGGTGGAATTTGCATTCATACCATTTAAATCTTTTGTTTTTACATATCTGACATCTAAATTTTGATAGTTGGATTTTGATATTTACTTCCCTAAGACTTCGATATTCAAATCACATAAATGGTATCTCCAATATTGTTTTTAAGCAAAAATTATATTGTGTATATTTTGATACTAAAATGGTATTTATGTAATTATGATGGTTATTAGATATGTAAGTACATAAAAAATAGTGTTATTATGTAAATCTCCTTTTCATGTATTCAAAACTTGTTAATTTTGTAATGATATAATGAAATATAATTAAATCAATCTCTTTCAATCAATATTTTATTTTAGTTTTTGTTAAATCAATCTCTTTGATTTGAAAGCGATTAATTTACTCTCTTCAATTATTGAGGGACCAAATGAATATATACTTTCATTATTGTCTGTATTTATTATTGTAAAAACATAATTAATTAATCCAACTTAGGAGAAAAGAAGGAATGATACCACAAATTGATTGTTTTTTGTCTCCTTTTTAATAAAGGAGGATGAAGCCATGCATTTACAATTTTTAATATCATAATATGTTGCAAAATTTGATTAAAATTAAAAAAAAAATTGGTTGGAAAGGAATGAAAATTAGTTTAAATATCAAAGTTGGTTTGATAAACTGAAAGTATGGAAATTAGAAAGTGTGAACAGCTTTAGAACATGATGTAAGTTTTAAATTTAGAGAGTTCATTTAAAAAATACGACGAGATTGGAAAGAAAATTTCAAATTCCAAAACACGAAATTTGTTAAAAAGAGCGAAAAAAAAAATCTATTTTCAGAGCTGAAACAATTAATGAATTTCTTAAATTTTAATTAGGAAGTGAAAATAAAAAAAATTAATGATCTGAAGCATCTTTTTAATTTAAGTGATCAGAGTTTTTGTTGTGGTTGGAAGTAGACGGTTTTAATAATTTTATAGATAGCTGAACATTATCTATGATGTTATTAAGTTTAATGATGTCATGTTGGTTGGATGTTTATGGCATTTAAAATCATTAAAATAAATATTATGAAAAGTTGAAACTTCAAATATTTATTGAGAACTATATTTGTTGAGAACTATATTTGTTGAATGTCAAGCTTTTTTATAGTATTATGGATAAATGAACATTTTCTAATAATTTTCCAATCTTATTGAAGTCATATTGGTAGTTCATCATAGCATTACATTTTCATTTATCTATGATGAACAAAATTATTAATTTTGTTTTTTGTTAGGCAGGCTATGTTATTGTACCTAATGATTTTTATCAACATTATCATTCTATTGTTTATTGCATATATTTGATGCTGAATTTTTTTAATAATTTTTTTCATAAAATTTCTAGAAATGAATTTCTTTCTAATCATTTTTTTTTTTTTTTTTTTTAGTCATAATATTGCATTTTTAATTAATCAAACATGGTCTTGTTAGAATGTTGCCTATTATCTTTTGTATCAATGATTTTTGTTCCTACTTATACCTCTCTTTGTAACTAGTCTTTTGCCTAACTTTAATATATTATGATATATGCGGATGAATCGATATCCTTAAAAAAAGGTTGTTTCATATTTTGTTTTATATGTTTTATTAACATAATTTCATTTTTTATTACAAATTTTAATTACTTGTATGCAGTTTTCGCACATATTATAACTATTTATTTGCAATTTTTTTTTTAATTTTGGTCGTTACATATGTGATACTTGATCAATTGTATTATATATTGTGTTTTTTGGACAAACACTTGATTTGCTTCATTTACTTTTCTGTCATCCTCTTTCGTTTCAAGTTCTAATTGTAAAATAAATGCAATACATGTGTCAACTACTTTGAACATCGATTTTCTTAATTATTTAGATATTGAAACTCAATTTTCTTTTTTTTATCATACTTCATTTTAATCGTAAAACATAATTTGTTAAAGCATTGAATGTAAATTTATTTAAAAGTTTTACCATGTTTATTGTTGTTTCCTTTTCGAGGAAGTCCCCAAATCATTTGGGAATCCATCAAATAGCTATAACTGGCTTTATAATTGCTTACAAAATTTTTTGCATCGTAATCATCTTTTCTCCTAATATATAGCTTTCATTGCACTTTAGTATTTGTTTCTTGTTCCTTGCATGTGTCACAATCATATTTTAGTTGCACCTATTTATGGAAATCTCATTTGTCATAACTTTTTTTTTTTCGTGAGGCATGTATTGCAACCTTTTGTTATAACCTCACTTGTGCCATAATTATATCCTTCTAAGACATGAATTAAACATATTT